GTGGAACTGAGGGTGGAGCTAAGAAGGGGTTGTATGTTAACACATTAATAATTGACCAATGTGCCACTAAATGCAGAATTGTATTAAATACCTACTAATCACATACTGCATATTCAGATGTACCTTAGTACAAGACATACATTATTTATTTAATTTATGTTTTATTTGGATAATGGGTTGACTATGTTCAATGTCTTATTTTTGGAAGATTAAAACATATTTGATGACAGTAATGGTGTTTTTATGAGAACATTGCACAGTAGATGGCACCGCAGGACAGATAATGATAAGCGCAATTCACAAATAATGAATAACGAATAACAATTTTATCTTTTGGAGATTAAATCTTCCTATCATAGGGTTGCTTAATGAAGACAAGGTCAGTTTGGCACTTACTGACGTGACCAAATACACAAATCAAATATTTACAATGATTGCCTGATCTACATACAAATACGTCTAGTCATGTAAAATATATAGAGCTGAGGAGATGAGAGCTAAAAAAATAATAACACTGGGTTATGCAAAGCCTGTTGATATTTTTATGGATGAGATATCAGACAAGTTCAGATATTATTTTAGTACAACCTACTATTTTAAGTCTATTCCACTAAAAAATATGATTGGAAAATGAAAGTGGAACTGAGCTCAAAAACTAAAGATTTCTTGTCTTATAGAAATGTTCATTGTGCCTAATCAGTACCGTTTTATCTTTTCTCTTCAATCCCTTCTGAAAAAATACCAATGTGCTTGTGCTTCGGCACCCCTGTCAGCTAAGCCTTAGAGCTGTATACTGGTAGTATAAGATCAAAGGTATTAATTTTTATGACTGCTGGTAACACAAGATTTAGAGTAAGATTTGGTGGTGTCACTAATGTGCTGCTTGCTGTTCTTGCTGGAGAGGAAGCTGTACCTGAGGACCTACAATGCAAGAATCTCCCTGCTTCTGTTTCATATATTCTGTAGATCTGTGCTTGTTTTACCCACTTCTCCTGCAATTTTATTTTACATATTCCCCACCATTCTTCAGAGCATGAGTCATCACAAGGACAGCTCTTCAATGAGGAAGCAATGCCTTGCCTCTACTAATATGGCCTCTTCCACACACACAGGCATAGTGCAGAACAAGGTGTCATAAGGCAATATTGGGGAAAATGTATCTGTGTAGTTTGTTAGAAATTATGTCATTTTCAGTAAGCTTTAAAGAGATTGTAAAGGTGTAAATTACCTGCTCTGTGTAATGGTATTTCCTAGAGCAGCCCTGAACTTCCTCTGCTGGGGTCCAGCATTGGCACTGTAGGCTCCTTCTTTTCTCTGCGCACCACCATAAGAAGCCACTTCCTATGGGTGTAGACCTAACCCACTTTCCAATGATTAAACGCTCATATAGTCAAAGAGATAGGACATGATCCTCCATTCCCCTTGCAAAAAGTGCTCCCTCACGCTCAGGCAGTGGATTGTTCCTCAGCATCATCACATCCAGTGCAGACTATCAACTCTGCATTGGTCTTGAAGACTTCAGGAGCTTACACCAGTGGAGTGTAGGGAAGAAAATGCTGCGGCAACTAGTCTAGTAGCATGGGTCAAGTAAGTAACTCGACTTTTCCATGCCCCCCGAGGCTTAAAAGGGCATCCCCAAAGCAAGGGATAATGATCAATTTTCCTGGAGTTGGGCTTTAATTTTGCCAAACATTAAAGCAGTCATTCTCGACTGGTATCTTTATTAAAGGAAAATGTACCTTAAAATTAAATTCTGGCTTAGCTAACCTTTTGCTGAAAATGCAAGTTCCTTTGCTATTATTGCCCTTGGTCCTTTCAAAGCCGCTGATCTGGATCAAGCAGGAAAAATGCATACTTGTTCCAGGACAGTGACTTGTAAAGCACCAAAACCTTTGGACCAACATCAAAAGATTTCAGCTATAGCAATCTATGTATCTTTAATGACTGGTGTCCTCCTTTTGGAAAAACAGGTCACAGCAATCATAGCTATCTTTCCAAAATTCCCAGCTTCCCATCTCTTGCACCAATATGGTTGATGAGAGAAGCGGTAAGACATTTTCAGAGACAGCTGCAATGACAAAACAACCTTAAGAAATCAGGTACAAGTGAATCTTTCAATTATCCTGACAGTGTTAGATGTTTGGAAACTACTGTTTAGATAAGTAGAGGAAGTTAAGCAATTTGGACTCATTTCCAGAGGAATAATCTGCCTTTCAGAGTCTATTCTAGGTCAGAGAAGAAGGATCTACATAATTCCGGAGAACTCTGCTACAGCAAGGCAATGTTGTTAATGTAGCAATGAACCCCAAAGAAGCTGCTGAATTTTATGGGCTCTCCTACTTTTCTACTGGAGATTTGCAGACTCTGGCAGACACACATGTTCCCTATCTGTCTGCCATTGTCTGCTATTTTTTTGACTCACTCGGGATTGGGGGTACAGAATACTTAAAAAAAACTAAAAAAAATCTGATTAGTAGTATCTTGTTATATATATAACCTCTGCCACAATATACATATAATACAGGTTCAGTGAACTAGAAGGACAGTTGCAATTAAAGGGTAACTCACTTTTGTGAAAAAAAATATTGCAAATAAAAAAAAAAAACAAATCTGCTTGGATGATTGGCTTACTGCTTTTCCTGGAAGTCTGCACTAAGCTACAAGAAACATTTTAGCCATCCTCTGCAACTGGAATGGGTTTTTTTTGGCGAGATACTCCCTAGGGGTTAATTACTTCTAAAGGAATGCAGACACCAATTCAAATTTAAAAAAAAAAAATTGAAAAGCAATTCAAATTTGAAAACAAAAATAGAAAAAAATTGAACAGAAAATAAAGAAATAGAAAATAATAGAATAGAAACTACAAGAATAGAATATAATAGAAAAGAATAGAGGAAAAAAGAACAGAATTGAAAATAAAATAATATAACACAATACAGTAGAAAATAATAGAGTAAAACAGAACAAAATAGAATAGAAAATAAAGGAATAGAAAAGAATAGAATTCATTACAATAAAAAAATCAAAGAATATAATAGAAAATAATGCAAAAGATTAGAATAGAAAATCAAAGAATAGAATAGAAAATAACAGAGTAAAACAGAGCAAAATAGAACAGAAAATAAAGGAATACAATAGAATCAATTAGAATAGAATAGATTAGAAAATAATAGAAAATCAAAGAATAGAATAGAAAAGAATAGAAAAGATTAGAATATAGAATCAAAGAATAGAATAGAATAGGATATTATAGAAAAACAATAGAATAGAATTAAATAGAAAGAATATAACTGCCTTCTGAAATTTGAATTTTGAATAGAATACATTTGAATTTGAACAGAATACATTAGAACAGAATATAAAATGATAGAAAAAAGATACTAGATTAGAAAATACTAAAATCGTACTTTACCAAAAATTGTGAGCTGCGCTATGGTGACGTGAGTAGTGATCAACAAAGACCGATATGGTCACGCAACTCTTCATTGAGCCCATATACCATCAAAAACACATATGGATTGTGGATTATGGACTGTAACATTCTAATTATTTTCGAATCCATTGTAATTATTTACAAATCTGTTAGAATTGTTTTAGAATCCGCTAGAATTGTTTTCAAATCCTTTAAAATTATTTTCAAATTCGTTTGAAATTTTGATTTCAGTTGAATTCGAATAAATGAAACGAATTCCGAAAAAAAACGATTTTAAACGAATTTAACTAATCAAACGAAACAAAATTCATCAAATAACGAATCGAAACGAAAGGAAACAAAACAATTTTTTTCATTTTGCACATGTCTAATGGCTATACTACAATATTTGTTTAGGAAGATACTTAAAGGACAACTACACTTTTAGTGAACTTGTCCCCTCTCTCCCCATAGTGAATTCTCTAAGGATAAACACCTGCAGCCCCATTTCTGAGATCTTCATTGGCCCTGCCTGGACTGCCTATTAAATTATTCGGCAGGTGCTTTGGAAAATGTGGACCTTTTCTATACCATCTTCTGTTTGTGTGCTGATATTCCCCTTAAATCTACAGAATCTTTTATAAATGGCTCTTTTAAATGATCTAGTTTCATTTTTAGTCTGTGGTCCTCCAGTGCTTCTGCCATCATTTGCAATTATGGGTTTTTTGACACACTTAACTTCCAAAGTGCTCTCCTCCGGAGACGGGACATCTGCACTCCCCTTTTTGCTCTGTTGGAGCCATCTTCTCCCAGTCATCTTTTGGGTTCGGAATCTTCATCCTCCTCCATGAGCTGGTCACAGATGACATAAAACTTACACGTGCATATGACAGTGAACACATTGGCACCTAGTTCTTATGTCAAGCAGATTACAGATGCCAGATGGCACAATGAATGAGATTAACAAAATTGCCAGGTAGGGAAAGAGGCTTTTAGAGACATACAGACCTCCACTCCATTGATGTATAATGACAGTTATAGATATGCCCCTAAAGTGGTGTTCAGTGGCAGCAATAAATCCCCTCCCCCCACCCCACTGGTGTTCAATGGCAGCAATAATTACACCCCCTTTATTAGGGTCAGTGGCAGCAATAAATATTCCTCTCCCCATTGATGTGCAGTGGCAGCATTAAATGCCCTCATTGGCATTGGTGCACAGTAATATGCAATGGCAGCAATAAATATCCATCTCCCCGTGGTGTGCAGTGGCAGCAATAATCCATTTGTGGGCAGTAGGAGCAATAAATACCATTTTTCCACTGGCTTGTACCCATATGGAAGAAAAATATATTTGAAGTATATTTTAAAAATATTCTTCACAAATATATTGCCATATATTTGAAATGCTACAATTTTGGCCGTATTCAATATAGTTCAAAATATATTTCAATAAATAAATATCTCTCTCTATCCAATCAGTCGTGTCCGACTCTTGGCAATTGCATGGGCCGTCACTCTCCACACTTTCTGGTCTTGCACCTTTCTTATTAGTTGATACATGCTTAGGCTAGTGCAGGGGTGGACTGACCATTCGAGCACTCGGGCACTGCCCGAGGGCCCGGGCTCAGTAGGGGGCCCCATGAAATGCCCCTGGTACCTTTTTATAGGCTTTTTTGGGTGTGCTTTGAGTGTGGGCAAGGACACATGGGCCCCATGATCCCCTATTGCCTGGGGGCCCCATGAGTTGTCAGTTCGCCCCTGGGCCAGTGTTCAATTCCATAGCATCCAACTGGCCTTCCTCTTTTTCTCCCCCCACTGACCATACCAAGTAATGTTGCCTTCTCTAAGGAATCAGATCGCATCACATGCCCAAAATAAGTCAGCTGTAATTTGACTATCTTTCCTTCTAAAGGTATTCCTGGTTTAACTCACTCTAAAACCTCTCTGTTGGTAATCATTGCTGTCCAGGGTATCCTTAATAGCCTTCTCCAGCACCATAATTCAAATCGCATCAATTTTCTTTCTATCAGCTCTTTTCATAACCCAGCTTTCACACCCATACGTTGTTATAGGGAAAACTATCGTGTTTACCAGCTTGCATTTGGTGATGAGGCTGATATCCTTACTTTTCCACAATTTTTGCATACTTAGCATGGCGTTTCGACCTAATGCGATCTGTTTTTTTTAATTTCAGGAGCGCAATCTCCTGTTTAGTTTATCCTAGAAAACAGAAATCCTGAACACATCCTATTTCCTCTTCATCAATGTATATTTTGGTTGTTCGAGTTTTAGCTGTTGTCATGATCTTTGTTTTTTTATGTTAAGAGTCCCATTTTTGCACTCTCCTCCTGTGTTTTTGCTATCAGGAGTTTCAGGTCCTCTTCTGTGTCTGCCAGTAAAGTTGTATCATCAGCATATCGAAGGTTATTAATATTCCTACCACCGATCTTCACCCCAATTTCAGATTCTTCTAGATCTAGTTTCCTGATGATGACCTCTGCATACGGATTGAAAAGAAAAGGGGAGAAAATACAACCTTGTTGTACACCTTTTCCAATTTTAAACCACTCAGTGCCACCATATTGTGTCCGAACAATAGCTTCTTGGTTGATATAAAGTGACCTTATTAACTGTACAAGGTGCATTGACACTCCCATTTCTTGCAATACTTTCCATAGCTTGTCATGTACAACACAGTCAAATGCCTTGGTGTAATCAATGAAACACATGTAGATGCTTTTTAGATATTCATTAAATTTTTCCATCATCCAACGTAGATTAGCAATCTAATCACGTGTACCTCGAGCTCATTGGAAACCAGCTTGTGAGTCAGGTAATTCTCTTTCAATAACTGCTCTTAGGCACTGTTGAATAATTTTTAGCAAGATTTTGCTTATGTGAGGAATCAATGCAATTGTGCGGTAATTGTTGCAGTCTCTTGAATCGCCTTTCTTTGGTAGAGGAATAAAAACTGATCTTTTCCTCTCTTTTGGCCACTTCATAGTCTCCCAGATTTTCTGGCAGATTTCTTTTATCACTATTGATGGGATGGGTTTTAGCAATTCAGCTTGAATATAGTCAATTCCACGAGCTTTGTTGTTTGGTAGCTTCTTCAGTGCCCATACTACTTCCTCATTACGTATAGCTGGCTCTAACTCTACTGGGTCCCCAAGTACTGGTTCCATGTTATCATTGGCTGCCAACAGTTCTTCTGCATATTCTTGCCATCTGCATTTGATGCTTTGCTGATCAATCAGGATTTTCCCATTCTTGTCTTTTATTGCTCCTTTTCAAGCAGAAAACGGAACTTGAGCTTTCTTTACCTGTGCAAAAAGATTTCTGGTATGGCCTTTTTTACCGTCTTCTTCTAATTTTCTACACTGTTGATCCCAGTTGATATTTCAAAATATATTTTACATATATATATATATATATATATACTGCATGTTGAAATGTGTTTTTTTTACAAAATATCTGAAAAATATTTTTAAAAATACATTTCAAATATACTGTATGTCTTTAAAAATACAAATCTACATTTTTGGAATGCATTTACAAATATATGTAAAAATATATGTTAAAATGACTTTTTTATATGTAAATAAAATCTGAAGGATATTTTTAAAACATATATATTTTAAAAAAATATTTATTTTTAAAATATATTCTTCAGGGTTAACTGTGTGCCATGAGTGTTTTACTAGGGGGCAGTGTCAGTGTGATTCACTGTAATCACACTGCTCTGGATGGCTGTGCTGTGCCAGCCATCCAGAGCAGCGTGCCTGAGCTGACAGGGAGGAGGACTGTTAGCAATCAAAACAGTCCTCCTCCCCGTCGGAGATCTTTGGAAATCATCGGCATCGCGAATGGTGGCGCAGCGGGAACTGTAAATGCAAAATGACATATATATACATGATTTTGCTCAGCCGTGCTGCCCTGTAGCAGTATTTCTGCTATAGGGCGGACGGGAAGTGGTTATCATTGAAAGTAAAAGAAAATCCTAGATTTTGGGTTGTCCCCAAAAAAGTAATAAAGGGGAAATTTTTCTGATGGGAACACTAGTTCTGGTGACCTGGAAGTCCCAAAGAGATTTCCTTAATTTGTATGGATTTCCTCTCAGTAACCTATTTTGCCTATGGAAATGAAGGGAAATCTCCCCAATGGGATAAAGAGGTAAAAAACAAACCTTACAGTGGTCATAACCCTTCTTTAAGCTATCTAAAGTGAAAAAAAAAAATTACCTATAGTTCTACTTAAAGAATATGTTGCTAAATATGTTTTGATATCTAATCATATGTATGCTTCAAATGAGAATAATTAAGGGTGCTGATTTACTTTTCAGCCCTAGTGTTTCTTTCTTTTATTGAATGTTTTAATTCTGATAATAATAAGTTATGGTCATTTTATTTAATTGTTTTGTGTGTAATATGTGGGACCCTTAAAGTCCCAGTCCCACACACTCATTTCGTTCTCTATATCTACAAAAACGGTTGTCACCAGAACAGGAAGTAATGCTAATTCTCTCTCCAGGGCCCTGGATAGCAGAAAAAGCTAAAAGGGATCATAATCCTTTCCCACTTTATATCCAAAACTAAAATAAAATGTTTTGGTTGTACACATACTTTAACCGCTTTCTGACCGCTCTATAGCAAAACTACTGGTACAGGGCAGCAGGTCTGCGCAAAATCATGTTTTTATACGTGATTTTGTTTTTCTGTGTAGGGGCCGCCATTGGCGGCTACAGCTGTCGATCACCGGGTCCTGCCTGGAAATTCGCCGCTGGCACCCGACGATCGCTGGGGAACACTGACGGGGGAGAAGTCTGTATGTAAACAATTTAGATCTCTCCCCTGTCAGCTCCAGCATGCTGCTTTGTATGGTTCTGCATAGCAAAGCAATACAAAGTAGCGTGCTTACCCAGTAAAACACACATAGCACACAGTAAAACACACACAGCACCAGGAGCAGACTGACAACTCATGGGGCCCCCCCCCGGCCAATTGGGGATCATGAGGCCCCTGTGTCCTTGCCCAAACTCAAAAAAGCCTATGAAAAAGGTACCAGGGGCATCTCATGGGGCCCCCTACTGACCCCGGACCCTCGGGCAGTGCCCGAATTTCCAAATGGTCAGTCCGCCCCTGCACAGCACCCTTTGATCGCCCCAGATGTTAATCCATTCCTGCCCAGTGCCATTATTACAGTGTCAGTGATTTTTGTTAGCACTGATCACTGTATTGGTGTCACTGGGGATGTCAGTGACAGTTAGTCAGCCCCCCCCCCCCCAGTGTCAGAATGCCCTGCCGCAGCCCCGCTATAAGTCCCTGATCACTGCCATTACTAGTATAAGAAAAAAAAATTCCAGTTTATATACCACCATTTGTAGACGATAGAACTTTCATGTAAACCAATTAATTTACTGTATTAGGATTTTTTTTAATAGCAAATATATGTGGCAGAATAAATTTTGGCCTAAATTTATGACAAAATTAAATTTTTTTACTGAACATATTTTATAGCAAAAAGTCAAAATATTGTTGGTTTTTTTTTTTCAAAATTGTCGTTCTGTTTTTGTTTATAGAGCAAAAAATAAAAAATACAGAGGCAATCAAATACCACCGAAAGAAAGCTCCATTTGAGGGGAAAAAAGGACATAAATTTAATTTTGGTACAGCGTTGCATGACCGAGCAATCGCCAGTTAAAGTAATGCAGCACCGTATAGCATAATAAAATGGCCTGGTCAGGAAGGGGGGTAAATCCTCTGGAGGGCAAGTGGTTAAAGTGCTACCATCAAAGGTCACAAAAACATCAGCAACTCTCCATTCTGCTCCTCATTGACTGTGCAGGAATAACTGGTGTGTGCATCATACCGCCTACAATGATGTAAAATACAAACATTTGTGCTAATGTAAGAACAAGACTATGAAAGATGAAATGGGTAAACAAAATACAGTTTTATATTTTCACTTCCACAATATCTTAGTCTGTAATGCATTGCAGTTCTCAATGCAGGTCTTGCAAGAAAAGGAGCTAACACTATAATGTATGCATGAAAGGTAAGCAGGATAGGAGGTGACGTGTTCACCCAGGAGAAATTTTTAGGACACAAAGTAAAAAAAAATGTTTCCAAGGTTACTACTAACCTTGTTTTATTTTATATTTTTAGACTCTGCCTAAAGCAGGCATGGCGAAACCGTCTCCTTAAATTTACTTCTTGATCATATTTCGTGTTATGCTTTTTTTACATATTCAGCAAGTTAAGTGATATTGAAAATGATGTTCTGTTTCAAATGTGAACAGGAAAAATACAGTAAAGGACAAGTACACACACACAGAAATTAGCTAAGAAACTGGCTCAAGTGGTGTGCACCACAATAGCAGAGCAGATAGACCTGTTTCAGGTCTATCTGGCACCCCTGCCAATTTCTCTTTCAGAATGGAAAAAAAAAAACTGGTGCAGGTTCTGCACCTGATTAACAGTATAGAAAATTGCCGCAGATCCAGGACAGGTCAGTGTCCAGGATGGGGACTGTCAGTAGACAGATCACATCCCTCTCTTTTCTGGTGCAGGGACTACACTGCGCGAGCAGAGACTGCTCAAACCCTCCTCCTCCCTCCCAATCTGGGTTGAGAAGGGGATGGGCAGAGGGATAGAGCAGGCAGATCCAGCTGTACACTTCTGTGCTGTGTCTGTCAAAGACACAGCATAGACAAAAAGCAGACAAATCCAAATTTAAAAAGGGTCTTGAGCCCTTGTGTTAATTAAAAGCAGGATATACTCTATTTCTCTAATTTAGAAGAGAAGTGCAGGAATAGAGTCTACACCTCCATATGGAAGAAAAATATATTTGAAAATTTTTAAAAATATTATTCCCAAATATATTGCC